TTTTTGAAAAAAAAATAATTCCTGTAATGGCAAAGCTGTATTTTCAGATACTTCATGGTCTTCATAGTCACAAGATCCTTCAGAAATCACTTTAATATGATGATTTGCTGCTCAAGAAAAGTGTCTTATCACACAGCAAATATTATTATACTCACAGCTGTGCTCCTTAATATTTTTGTGGACATTTTTTTTCCAGAATTGAATGAATGTCGAAAAAGCAGAATTTACTGTATATGTATATTTAGGCTACTTTATCTTTATAAATGTCACATACTGAAATTTGAATGGTATTCAAAATTAAAATTAAATCAAAATTGATTTATAATGCACTATAAAAAAACAACAGTTGTTGACCACTGTGCTGTACAAAACCTTGCTAAAAGTTTAGCAACAATAGAAAAGGCACTGTCACCCTTCGACTTTAATCAGAATCTTGGGACCATTAACACTCTTTGCTCAGAAGAGGTACCTCAGAGATCTAACCAATGAATTTGGATTTAAAAGATCACAGAGATATTCAAGAGCCATTCAACTAAGAGCTTTAAAGATTTTCTTCTGTTGAAAAAAGCACACCAAAAATTTAACTCAAAGAGTAAATGCAAAGAGCATAATGCAGAGGAGATGTAATCAAATTTGTGGGTGCCAGTCAGAAGTCTGGCAGCTGCATTTTGAACCATCTGAAGATGATTTATATTTGATTACTTATTCCAATATAGAGGGAGTTAAAATAATCAAGCTGTGATGATTGTCGATAATGATGAACGGTAGTGTATCTATTTTCAAGTATTTTTCAACAGCTAAACGTACCCAACCCCAGAGTACATTTATATGTGCTAGGAGAACTGCTTTAAAAGTGATTTCGGTCAATCAGTTTGGTGCTTGGGCATGAGATGATGGCATCTGCAGTCAATGAGAACAATACTGTCACACTGTATTGCTGCTGAAAAAACAACAACTCTGAAGCGGATAAAGAATCGGGCTGGGCAATAAAACGGTATCTGTACTATTTATCCATGGTACACCATTGTCACCACTAAAATGTTAGATATTGCGCTTATTTTCATTAAAATGAATGCGCATCGCCCATAGATCTTATAACAGCCTATCAGATGTTTTGATAAATCAGCGTGCTACCATTGACAAGCAAACAACCAATAAGGTCTAAACAGCCAGGTTGTGTTGCTCTTGTGTTTGGTTGCATTGACATCCCAATATATCTTACAGTTTTAGCAGGTTGTATTAATGACATGAAAGCAAATGTGATCACATTTCTTTTATGAATAATTTGGCTCTCTTATTTGGAGCAATGTGTATGGCTTCTCTTAAAAGTCAATAACTGATGAGTGTCCATAATTATTAATATGGTTTGAAATTGAAAAGTGAAGTGCTAAAGTGCTAAACTACTGGAATGCAGGAAGAGATAAAATTCTTTATCATTAACATTTTGTAAGTGCTAGTAACATGGCAATATGTTCACTGTACGAGACAATAATAAAACACAGAGACAAAGTTCACACAGGAACTATATTTCACCATTTACAATGACAATTGTATGCATGTATGTTGTGGTGACAAGGACGAACCCGGGGGCCGTGGGGGAACGGCGCGAGGCCGGTGTCGTGATTGATTATGAGCGAAACCTGTGCGACGCACCGGTCTCAAATCTCTCACGGAGGAGCGACGACAGTGAAGATTGAGATAGGCCAGGCCTGGACTTCATTAGATGTTTTGTTTTTATGTGGCAGCAGCCTTTCCTTTCGTTTTGTATTTGCTTATTTTAGGTTTATAAAACTCTTTGAATGTTCGCTGATTCCCACTTCCTCCTTCCCACAACATCTAACCTTGCTATATATATATATATATATATATATATTAGTTCCAATCCTTGATTCTGATTGGTCAATAGCTGTGCTTTATTCATGATAAAACCCGGCTATGACCGCTTCACCCAACGGTTCTATTTATTACTGCGCAACACTGCAGTTCCTATGTTGTTTTTATTTTTCATATTATTGGAACATTGTTGCTGTTCAAGGTCAGAGACTATTTTTTTCTAGAGGGAGGAACTATTTTAGTGATTTTATTTCATGAATGTTGCACTAATACAAAAATTTTTATTTTATATTTTATAAAAGCAATAAGGTATTCGAGGCAAGTGCTGTATTGTGAATAAGTAACGGTTGAAGGGGTTGCAGGGGTTCGAATCGTGCCTAGCAATGCCCTTCAGCCATTACTTATTCACGATACAGCACAACCTCTTGTACCTTATTGCTTACACACACACACACACACATATATATATATATATATATATATATATATATAATAAATGATATAATATAAGGACACACATATACATGTATGTGTGTGTGTGTGTGTGTAAAAGTAATGTTGATCATGTTTATTGGCACATGTATAGAGGCCATGAAACAGAGCAGCTGTCATGCTGGAAGAGGCTGCCAGTGGGACAGATGACCTGGAGTTGTTTCCCTCTCCGAGACACTTGTTTTTCATGGACTGATGAATAATAATGAATGTAGGCCCTGCTTATCTCAAGCCTGCCGGCTACAGGCTGCAATATCTGCTCACGTCGCCTTCTGTATGACTATGAACAGTCGGCATCAAACTCCACAAGGGCTGTAAACCTCAGATCAGAGTGAGAGATCTGAAAACTTTAAATGTGGCGTGCGGACTCTGCCCTCATATTACAGCTGATTTACTGCCATGTATCGTTTACTGCTTGTATGTATTGTTTTAAAACACTAAAATAACATTTTCTAGAATGATTTGGCAGGGGTCATTATAAAAACATTTAAAAAATAAGCCCTACCATATATCGGTGTTGGACAGTGTTGATAGGGTGTCTAATTCTAATTCTTGGCCAGCTTACAGTTAGTATATGCAAATTGCATGGTCTACACAATCCCAGAACAGAAAATACAAGCAAAAATGGCAAAGCCGAATCTTCTGGTGGTCTTGATGTAAACACAAACATGTTTCTGAAGGATGTAAAGTTACACCAGGAGAATGAAGGAGAAAACAAGGTAAAAATAGTAACAGTCAGGAATCATATCACTGCATGCCCTGCACAGTGTCAAAAAGTGACCTTTCAATTCTAAAATTAGGAACCCGGCCTGGAACTCTTCCGACAAATACCTGACAGTGGACACAGATAAACCCGCACTTCATGCTGACAGACACACAACCACAGACATATACAAGTGGCGTAAGTGATTATAATTATAGCCTATAGGGATTGGATGAGTCCTGTTTAATCAGAGCCTCTGTACAGTTTCCATGACAGTACGGGTGTGGCATGGTAACCGTCATGCAGCACGGCTTGCTTTGTTTAATCTCGGCCCACAGGTTAGAGTCTGACAGTACTGTCACTTCTGCTGAGGTGACAATGACAGGACGGGCAGAAACACAAAGCCCTCCCCTTCCCCTATTCAAAGCAGTCTTATCAATATGGTCAGGTTGATTTCACATATTTGAATAGTTACTAATTTGTATGTGACGTAATACAGCTATGTCACAATGCCCCAACACACACTAATATGTTGTGCTGGACCAGTTCAAGACAGAGCTGAACAAACCTAGTCAAATGAAGCTCACAAAAGGATCAACAATCGGAAAACAAGGTCATGCGAATTCATTATGCGAGCTTATGAGAGTAGTAGAGATTGATCTTTTCAGTGAATTTGATTAAACATAATAAAAGTCGGAATTATTATTATTATTATTTTACAATTGAACTGATCCAATTAAACTTTTCAAGTTCAACTCACTGACTCAATGATCTAGATAATTCACTCACAGCAAAGATTGTCAGTCACAGCTATTAAATGACTTCAGAAGACTTGGAAAATTGCACACAATTCAAACAAACTACTTTTATTATACTTTTATGGTGCTTTTACTTCCTTTTTTCTGAAGCTTGACAGCTTCAGTCCCTATTCAACTTCACCGGGTAAAAAAAAAGAAAAAACAACCAGCAAATTTATCAACATTTCTCCTTCTGTGCTTCTTAGACTATAAAGTCAGGTTTTGAATGATATGAGGATAAAGTAAATGATGACAGAATTATCATTTTTCTGTGAACCTTTGCAATTAATTATGAATCGTTCAAGTTAAATTAAGTCACAAAGAAAAGAAAATAGCACAGGACTTCTTGTGTTTTTGTTCACAAATATTAAAGTGTTTGTGGTGATGAACATGTTAGAGCTGGACTGACAGATCTCACAACGTCACTACCTCCCAAAGACACACCTGTGACAATACTGAACAGGTTGATCAACATACCATGTTTTTCCACCCTTTTCACAGGTATAGGCTGATACGAAACACTGAAACTACAACAATATAGCATGATTACAGCATGCACAGCACATCTGCAAGTGGCAAATTTACCCTTAGCGCACACACATTTTAAGTCTTTAATCTCTCTTCTTCATCACAGTCAGCTTGTGTTTCAGTGATAATGAGAGTTTATGCTTCACTCATGCGGGTGATTCTGCCTTTTTAAAGATCAGATTTTAGTTTCATTGTAACTCACCTCTGCTCTTTCTTCATTTATTGGGTCTTCTCTAACTTTTATTTGTCACTTGACAAAGAGTGCATTGCTAATTCATGATTTTATTATTCAATGCATTTTCACAAATGAGACAAATTCATATTCAAGCCAGGCATGACTGTATGCTAAATGTTATTAAGCTATTATGTCAACAACATGTCCATGAATCTTTTTTTAAATAGCCATTCACATTGAGTTTCACACTGGCTCAGTTGAATTTAAATGACTGGTTTAGTAATACAAGCCTGTTTTACAAAAATATGTGGATATGAGACCAGAGGACAATAAGATCTGCCAAAATCACCATCTAGTGAGCCATAAACAGTGGTTGGACACATTCTGTTATAGCTAAACCACAGCTATTTTCACATTGGCGGAAGGTCAAGTATATTACCGAACATTGTAAGTTGAGAAAAGCAGAACTTACTTGACAGTCACACGTGTGGAGAAGTCTTGCAGGTCTCCTGGGTGGAAAAGTTGGGCTTCTATTAGTCCAAGCTCTGAACAGGCTTTTAGGAAGAGGTTGATGTTGTCCTGTCGACAGAGAATATGTGTCCACCTTCTGAGTTAGACAGCACTCATACAGGAATTATTTGGCACACACAGTCCAGAAATCATTGCTTCCAAAGTTCAGTCCAGTGATCTGAAGCAGTGGGAGGAGACAAAAGAGGGCAGGTGGCAAATAAAAAGTGACACCACAAGAGCAAAGAATAAAGGCAGGATATCACTGATTGACCTGTGAATGTACCTGTAAGAGCAGCAGTTTGGCCTCGGGGAGGTGCAAAAGTATGACACAGAGTGTCAAAGCCACTAGTACCCTCCCCCGCACATGTACGGCAGGCACAAACACACACGCACTTTCTTTGCATTCCCTCTAGACTAACCCAAACACATACCTGCATGTGAACAAACATAAACTAAAGCATACTCTCACTTTTCACACCCAGAAACCGCCACACAAATCAGCAGAATATTTGAGGAATCTTCAGGGCGGTGGATTATTTTGGAGACGGGGTTGCCATGAAACACAGGTGACTGAAACGACAAAGTATTTCCCCCAAGCAACTGTTAAAATAGCTCGGTGGGTGGGTAAGGAAGTCGTGTTACGACATTATTTCAATTAGACTTGATCAACCATCTGGATGATAGTTCAGAGCGTGCAGCCCACCCTTTCCTGCTTTACCGCTTGCTCTGAAATAATCACAGGGTTATTTGGCCTATATTTAAACAGCAAACATGGTTATTAGCAGATGGCAATGAGAAGTTCTACTTCTGAATCACCTCCTCGTCTACCGTTTAAATAATTTCTCGAGGTGCTGTTCATTTCTCTTGTTCTGCTCCTCAACCAAATTCTCACACTCCAACAGCTTGATCTGTGTCCTTAACCTTTAATCTAGACGTATGCAAAATGTCTGAGATGTGAAAAGGTCCAACTAGTCACCTGTTTACCTGAATGCTAAATTTCTTGAAGCAGGTGGTTGGGAACAAATACACTATTACATGTTTGTGGCGAACAGGACGGCCGCGGGACTTGAGAGAATGGCGTGAGGCCGGTGGTGCGATTGCTAATGAGCAACACCTGTGAGCACACCGGTCTCGCATCTCTCACGGAGGAGCGGAAGCATAAAGAGGGAGCGACGACGTGGATGATCCAGAGAGGAACATGCCTGCTTTTGTTTCTATTTTCTTATAGGACTGCTGGCAGGTATTTTGTTTATTTCATTTAAATAAAGTTTTATTTGATTGTTCTCCGGTTCCTGCCTCCTTCTTCCCTGAACTTTGCTACAATGTTTAACCTTTACTTGGAATTTTAAATGACCTACAATTACTCAACAAGGCTTGTTAAAACACTAATCTTTGTTAATAAAATAATTTTGCACAGATAAGCTTTGAGACAGTGAAACTGAATCTCTAATTTTACAGCTAGTGCACTTACAGTAATCCTGTCAGAAATACTCATTGTAACTGCTGGTTGTTGGTTTGTTGCACAGGCATTACTGGTGATACGCATGTAATCTGAGGTAAGCTAAAGTTCATTATTGTGATAAACTGTCAGCATAGATCAAGCTTCTAAATATGAATCATGTTATTTTCAGTACATGTGAATAATGCTAAACGAAATTACAAGTTAACAATTGGAAATTATGGGTTTAATTGAAGTAAATAATGAAATATAAATGCTTAAATGCACACTTTTAAGAGCAAACAAGCCTGGTGGCCTGTGGAAAATTCTATTCAAATAATCAGTTCTGCCAATTCTCTTTTCACAGTGGTGAGACTCATTGCAAATATATCCATCCAGCTCAATTATAGGGGGCTTTATGAAGGGCTGTGCTCCACAGAGTCATCTCTCTGCTAAACCTCAGGCCAAAGCCCTGCCAGAATGACTTTTCTAATGTGGCCGACCAGTGTGCCACACAAGTGTAGGCTTCCTCTCTTCAAATTGTTAAAAGGAGGATCAGCTATCCGGGGAAACACAAGGGTAAACCACGGCTCCGGATTTGATGGAACTATGGGAAAGTGATCCAGAGATCAACCAAAGCCAAAACCTTGAGTAGGAGTTTAGTGATCCAAAGCCAGAGTCGCTACACAGTCCAGAAAACCAGAGATTTCAACTCTTACACTAATGAGCCTTGATTGAACAAAATATAAAACCTCAAAATATAAAATATAAAAAAGTATTAGAATAAAACTGCGTTTAACAAAAGCCAAGCAGCCAGAGGGAACAATAATGGTGCTGGGAAAATTTCAGAGGCTTGAATGAGCCTTTTCATTCTTTGGAAAAAGAAATCTTTCATCAGTTATAAACATAGTTGGATAAGTGCGTTATGTTCTTTTGCATCTTACGATTTGCTGGTAGCTCAGAAACAGCTCTCTTATGGACATATTTTACAGACTCGGCAGTATTTAGCAAAACTAAAATATAGTCCAAACTATGTGTTTTTCTTTGCATGCCTTTGCCTGGCCCTTGCCATGTAAGCCCTCAATTGTGAGTTTAGGCTCGATAGGTTTTGGGGTTGGAAGCATTTTATGGAAATACCGCTGTGATGCTGTTGGACATGCAGATGCTCATGTAAGCTTACCTGGGTCAAGAGTTTTAAATGGCAAAGGGCAAACTAAATTAGCATGTTTTGCATAGATTAGGCCAAAAAGTTTAAATCAAAACAGCTTAATTCAGGCCCAAATGATACTTGTCAGTGATCTTGCATAAAAAAAGCAAAAGCATAGACCATAGCAAGAGCAAAGAGCACGGGTTTTTGTACTGTCCGAGTAATATTTTATATTATTTCAAAATCTAATTTCCCCTTCTATTCATGCATGCGCATTGATCGTTCATGATAGAAAATTTCAATGTTTCCTGTTTGGAAAATGGTGACAAATGATTTCTGTTAAATAACAGACAGAAGTAAATCAACTTTTTGCAATTCACACTAAATACCCATGTAAATGTTAACCATTTAGTAAATCATTCAAACTTCTTTTTAAGAGTTAAAGTTATTATCAGGAAGGAATACTACAGCAAAAATCCTGTATGCATGTCAAAGTACAAAACAACAACAACTTACCAAGCCAGCAATAGGTGTGGATAATCTGTTTAATTTCTTGATAATGCCAGGCTTGATCTTGTTGATCAGTCTAGAAAAAGAAAAACAGAACAAAAGTCAACAAACAATTACATTGCGTGTCAGTTGCCAGTTTTTTTTTTTTTTTTTATTCTGACCATCTGGCTTCAGTTTACAAAGCCATCTATGCCCTGAGAAAAAAAAAAAAAAAAACGGCTCTCAGTGGAAACACATCAGTCAATAGCCTCCAAGTCTAGTTTTGTGTGTAAAACTGGTTTGGGGAAATACACAGGAATATTGAAGTGCAAAATACAAGGCATGCGGCTGACTGAGTGATGAAATAATAATGTGAGGTATGTGAAATGTGAGGAACTTGATTTCTGACTGATGTGCATTAAAGGGAGAGGCAGTCATTAAAGGGATAGTTCGCAATCACTTGCTGTGATATTCCACCATACATTATAGTTATACACTTAACACGTTTAGAAAAGTGCAACATTTTATTTTGGGTCACCATTCTTGGTCGAGTTACACTACTCGTGTAACTGTATTTAAATAGGGAAAACGTGAAGGTGTTTGGTCGCTTGTCTGCTTGGCTCCTATTGAATGAATAGGAGTGTCTCGCGCGCCAGAGAGATTGAGTGCATGCACTGAGACGAGAGAGGTATCAACTCGTTTTAGTTAAGGGAATAACAGTTTGTTAATATGAAAAAAAAAAAACAAAAAAAGAAAAAAAAAAGGATGGAGTATCCCTTTAACAGTTTTATGACTCATCTCATACAGTGTATTTTCTCTCATAGTCATGTAGTGATGCGCAATTCCTTCTGTGGTAGAAGAAAGACTGAGTAAAAAACTGGGAAAAAAACTTTAAGAGAATAAATTAGCTGCCATTTTTGTTACAGGTCAATACATGTTTTAGAACCAAGATCAAATGTAGTGCATTTAATAACATGCAAAAAATAACAAAATAATGTGCGAATGTGTGATTGGTTGAATGCTGAATTGAACAGTAACATTTACAATTAAAGGCAATTAAAATGTGGAATCTGACTGGTTAATGAAGCAGCAGCATTCAAAGAGTTGTGTCATAACATGATGTGTGCACCTGTTTAAAAGTGTCACCGGCCCACTGATGGGCCCATAGGCATTATTTAAAACAGTAATACTAAACCTAAAATTATATTGACAAACTACATTTATATTGACAAACTATTGACAAAAATTATATTGACAAACCTAAAATTATATTGATATCATTTGAAAGTTTTAGTAGTAGTTTTCATATTTGGTGATTGATCTTCACATTGACACTTAAAGGGTTAAAAAAACGACTTTAACACCAGTATATAGACTAATAGACTTTTTAAAGTTAGATTGGTGGCCCAAAAATGTTATTTATTTAGGCTATTTATTAAAAAAAAATTGTGTGTGTGTGTGTGTGTGAGAAAAAAAAATAAATAAAAAAGTATAGAGGCCTACAGTATCTAAAGAATATGTAGCGTTGGCCATTTCTTCTCTGTCTGTAATCACTAAAACACATACCCATTCACATGTCTAAGAAGTATTTTGACACTCTTAGTTTAAGCTACAGTCAAGCCTTTGCTGGACTGACCCCAGCAGTAGCTTCACAGGACTCTTTGTTTAGACGTGAAATCCAGAGTGACAGTCTCCTCAGGTTATGTAGGCTTTTGTTAGTTCATGTGGAAATAGCTAAGCTAATGGCTCGGCATACAGACTGAAAGCAGGCAGCATGAGAGCACAGGAGAAGGATGATGACATTCTGCACTGCACTGTGGTAATTAGTCTGCTGAATCACTCAACTGACACCAGCGTGTCAAACTGGCCCACGCACTGCCCCAAAACCATCCAGGCAGTTTCAGAAATGTACTGAAAACCCTGAGCTTGCAGCATGTTACGCCCTGTCCACCGATCCAACGCTCTCTTTACATAAACAGCACAAGAGGCCCGAGAGCTGAGAGCTGTTCTCCCCGTGTGCCTGCCCTATCTGCTCAGGTTTCTGAAACTGGCTAGAGTAGCTGGCACTATGGATCACCTCTTCCCAGCTGTCCTTTTAAATGCTCTGCCATCCATGTTTTCCTCTGCTGGGCTTACTAATGCTTCCTGGGATGGAAGAGTCTCTGATTATGACAGCAGGGTACAAATTATTTGTTTTAAAAATAGCTGCATGGGATCATGCACGTTAAATGTCATCCAGCTGGAATTAAATGCAAATTCCAAATGAGAAAGTTCAGGTAGTGTTAGCTTGCAGCACATTTCAGCCAAACAGCTAAAATATAGTTTCAGTGCTTCTTCTTTTGGAGTTTTATGGAGATTGGCAAACCAGCTAAAAGGTGCATTTCAGTTTCAGTGCATAATAGAAAAGTAGTTAAAGGGATAGTACCAACATATGCTCACTGGGAAAATGTGCCTCTAACCACATTTATGCAACTTTATTCCTTCTCGCATTTCAAATTACGATTACAGCGACAGATTTTTGATTGATAGACTTATTTTTGCACGGTTCTCAAACACTTTTACTATGGTGCATGATCTGTAAACTACTGTAGGCCTACATAATTTTAAGCTCCAAATGTTTGGCTTATATGAGGTAAACTTGCTTGGTAACTTACCTGGTATCTGCATTTCATTTGCAATGCAGAGTGTATGAGTGCAGTGAAACATAACTTATAAAAGAGCTTGTAGAAGCAGGCTAAATGGTTACTGTCTTGACAGTGATGCATTACAAGTAATGTGATTTAACCCCTTAACTGTCACCCCCCCCCCCCCCTTTTTGAGAATGGGGGTTAAATGCTCTATTCACACTTAAATGGTTGCAATTCAAGAATGCCTTGGAATATATACCCAAGTTTGGTCTTGTTTTAAAGAAAACACTCAGCAGAATATTGCTGAACTGAAAACACTTCAAAAAATGAAAGTATGAAAAAGTTATGGAAGTTTTAATTCACAGTAAATCAAATATACTGTACTATATATTTTTTATTTTATATAAAATATATATTTTACAAAATATTTTTACTCTAAAATTACTATAAAATCAAAGTCATAAATCTAACCAAGTTATGTTCCAAATTTGAAGTTGATATCACAAAAATTGAAGTTCCCATGAGATTTTGTTTAGGCGTAGTACCAAAAATAGCCACCGGGTGCCATTGAATTCCATTGAATTTAGTTGTGTACATTCTGCCTTAACAAATTAATACATTTCTGTCCAAATATCAATTTTGTCACAAAATTTGGAACCTTGAGACTCAGACCTTTCTGACAATATGTGTTTTGTCAAGATTAGAAAAGGTTTTGATCATAAATTATGAAATATAAGGATGCCCAAAAGGGGAGGAGCCTCATAAAATAATTGCCGTTTCTATGGTAACGCAACGTTGAATTATAAAATGGTTTTCACAGGATGAATTCTGAGTTTATAAGCTTTCAAATGATACCTAATTTATGATAACTACTAAAATATGTGATATAATAAAAAAGGCGATAAAAAATATAATTATATTTTAGAGGATAATATATACATATATATTATAATTTTTAGAGGATAATGTTATACTATAGTTTTTATTTTTATTGAAAAATACTAGATTATATGTTTTATTATGAACTTTTAGCATAAAAACAGAAGTTTCAATAAAAGTGGGTGCATCAACTTTTTGTGACAAAGGTCAGACCTCCTGTTATGATGCAGATTTTTTTAGGTGCACTCTTGTCATAAATTCATTAATTACTCTTCCTACATAATTTTTAACACAAAACAGGGGTCGAATATTTAATTAGAAGTCTTAGACCTTTCCAAAAATATATAATTTGTCATAATTAGATTAGGATTTAATAGAAATATAGTGAGGTAAAGTTAGGCGTCCCGGTACCGGGACGGTGACAGTAAGGATAACTTTTTTTCAAGCAACTAGTAAAATAAATGGACGGTCACTCTACACTTTTTGTCCAATTGACTTCCATTATTCACAAACAGTTTTAAAGTTCAAGTTTGGTGAACTCTGACCTGCAAATTCACATCACTTGAAGACACGTGACCAGTAGAAAATTGATAGGTCTATATCTCAGTGACCTCGTCTTGGCTGACTGAACTAAAAGAACTATATTTTTGCAGTAAATCCTAGTAGATTGTATATTTTACATTTTGAATGCATTACTATTTGATTTATGTTGAATTCATGCTTATATATAAAAAAAGAAATTTCTAAAGAAATTTTCCATAATAAAGTCCAGTGTGACCTCAGTTTAACACATTACTTTAACACAAGTTAACTAAACAATAACCACATATTGTGTTTAACACAATTACTTTTTCAAAAAAGTTTTGAAATTTACTTTGTTCTCCCATTCATTGACTGTTACTATGTTGAGAGAAATCGGGAGTAAGTGCAGAGGTGTTGTGTAACATGATGGGTTTTGTAGTTCTAGACTACGAGCAGGCATTTACTCTTCTCAATTGTGACTTGCACAAATAAAAGCAAATGTATTATTCCTCAAAATGAATAAAAACAGTGAAATGCATTTTAAACTCAGAATACTTTACAAAGCTGCAATAATTAAATATGTTAAATAACACAAATAAATGTATAAACCAATGCCTTTGCAACTGACCCTCGATGATCAAATTCAACCATACTAATAACCAAAATGACTTTAGATAAACAGCACATTTATTTCTTTTTCTTTTATTGCTGAAGTAAGAGTGTTGAATTGTACAGGAGTGAATTTGCATTTTCTTCAGCCTGAGGCTTATTCATTTCACTTTTGGCCTTTACATTTGCCAAAAATAAGTCCAGCCCAGGTGAGAAAAGGTAATGCAAAAATGCAAGTAACTATAAAAATTAACTAAGTTACTACTCCATAAAAAGTAACTAATGGCACTTTTCCACTGTACAGCCACCTCTGTTGAGGTTCCAAGCATACCATACCGATATACAAAATGTGACGTGAAAACACTACAGATCACTGATTGGTCAGAGAGATCCAAAGATTTGCAAAACGAGACAGCAAACCCGCTAGATTTAAATAGTCAGCAACAACCACCCAAGTTGTATATGTTTGCAATATTTTTATAAACGACTTGCTTGAAAAAATAAACTTGTAAAAAGTAATGGCTGAATCGTGGTGACTGGTCATTAGGTGAGGGGCAGACGTTCCTCTGGTTGTTAGCCGAGGAGCAGATCCAACGAAAATTGGATATAGCGACCAGGAAAGTTCTTAATAAACTTTAATGAGCAGTCTATAATCCCACCCACTTTGAAGAGGTGCTAAACTGCAGTGGAAAATCAAATCGATTCGAGCCAAATCGTACCACGCAGTGGAAAAGCAAAGCATGCCAAGCCATACTATATGACGTGGAAAAGCACCATAAGTAACACAATTTGTTACTTTTTTAGGAAGTAAATGTAATGCAATATTGTAATGCATTAAAAGTACTTTCCCCAACTCACACTTGTTTTTGTTAACACTATTGCTTAGGTTTAGAGTATGGTTTAGTTTAGGTGTTTATTTTTGTTTATCTCCATAACTCCATACAATGAGCCATAGGTCAGTGGGGTCCAAAAATCTAAATCCAAAAAGGGCATAAAGGTAACATATATGTGAATGTCATTGCATGATCAACAGAGCAAGAATTAAGTGGTTATTCAAACCATGGTGCTTGTGTCATAATATTAAGCAAAGTCATTTTTGATTCACGAGACTTCTTTAAACCAGTTTACTTTTCCGTTACCTTAATGTACATCAAAACTTTTGGACCCCTTTGAATTTAATAGTAAGGGGAAATAAATCAGACTTTCTTCAAATTAAAGTAAATGAAGACTGAATGTTCCCTATTTGAATGAACTGTCCTTTATAGTATGTTTGTGGTGCACAAAAAGTGCAATAATTATTAAAAAAACCATTACAAAACGATAGCCTAAGCTACAAACTTATAGCAGAAACCCTTTTTAATGGTTTAAACAAGAAAAAGAAAAAAAAACAGTAAAAAAAATTAAAAAGTACAAATAAACATAGCTTTACTTACTCACACAACAGAAGTCCATTCTCCAGAGAACTCCGGAAATTACTGCTCCCAAACTTCTTCTTAGTAACTGCCTGCGAGACATGGACAAACACAGGAAGCACTAAGAACCAGTGAGTGGGAAGTATGTCCAGGGAAAGGAGAGGAAAGTTGTTCTTCCGAGCTTTGAGTCCAAGCGTCTAGCACACCAGTACAATAACACAGCCTCTTTTGGAGAATCGTGGGTTATTCAGTAATCAGAGCTGGAGCCCAGTGGCCAAACCACAGAGAACGAGAGCATCTGGAGGAATGTCACAGTTCTACACACAGCTTCATGCCTTTCCAATGATCTCAAACTACTCCTGCAGGATACAGAAGGCAGGCAGCCCATTGTTTTTTCTCGCACACAGGGAAGCATTTATGTTGGTGTTTATTCCCTCAGACTACACTGTTACAATGCGAACCCTGTTGCTCCACACCTCATATAACATAATCTATGACTAAAGCCCCTTTTCCGATGCAAATGTTTTCAATTTCCAAGTTTAAACGCCAGTAAAAAACATTTGATAGAGTTCAGCTCAGAGACAATGTCATTATAAGTAATACTTACTCCTATGTATTAGGTAAACAGACTAGGTAAGTTTTATAATATGCTACTTAAGAAATTGACTAACAATCAGGCCAGACATACTGTATTGTAATCTCCAAAACGGTCTTTTTGCAAAAACAAATCATGCAAAAGATATGAAAGCTAGAGATGTCAATAAAGGGTTACCACTTATTGATGTCTGTAGTGTAGAATATGCTCTTAAACTGCTTCTACTTGACTGTCACTCAAAAACATGGCATGTATTCAGACAGAGGGTGTGGGCCTTACATGTAAAAGGACACTGGTTGTGTTGAGATCAGCATTGACTGCGGGATTTGAACTGCAATTGTTCTCTTTTAGAAGCAGAACTTCAAAGGACACTTTCTATGTCTGCTGAACAAACCAAGGACAAAAATAATGTGTGGACAAATATTATGATCCTATATACTAGATCCAATTACACTACAAGTTACAAACTAAAGGTAGATTATTTCAACAGGAATTTTGTATTCCGTGTCACACTGATCTAAATCTTTCAAAGCTTGAGAAAAAAAAAAAAAAAAAAAAAAAAGATAATCTTGCAATACAGCCAAAAAGTTGTAAATTGTCAGAATATTAAAGATCAATGTTTTTGGAATGAAATATCAAATAGCTTCCTGTCCCTATCATGTAGATTTATGTAACCATTACACAAACCCTCACAAATATAATATAGTGTAAGGAGACAAGAGGTTAATCATATACAGTATGAAGCATATTCACACAGCATGGTGAAGTAAACATCAGTGTTCAATGACATATGAAACCCTGACCCCTGCTGTTCCTGTCATTGTAATGTCCATGATGGCTTACTGTTTTTAAACAGATCTCTGTAGCAGGTGGAGAACGATTTGAGAGCTTGAACAAATCACTAACATAACCAATAAACAACTGAACAAAAATATGAATTTAGGCTACTATTAATTCTATACTAATTTTAAAAGGTAAAAACAGAATTTATATAGCAAGAATCCATCCAATGGATCAAAGAATGCTAAAAAAAAATGTTTCAACAAAAAAAATATTAAGCAGCACAAGTTAAAATGATAAAAACAAGAAATGTTTATTGATCAGCAAATCAGCATATTAGAGTGATTTCAGAAGGATCGTGTGACATCCTGTGAGTAATTATGATGGAAATCCCGCTTCAGCATCGAAGGAATAAATAACATTTTGAAATATATTAAAATAGAAAACAATTAATTAAAATTGTAATAATAAATTTCACAATTTTATTCACAGGTTTTATTACTAACTATTTGTCATTCAAGCTCACATAATGTGATCACATACTCATTTAAATAGTATATTTTGATAATGCAAGACATCATTTTAATTCAGCTGCACTTTTGCACACAGCGATTGTTCATTCATGAAAGAGCAATGAGGCATTCCAAGTTGTTTGGACACACGGAATGCCGTACATCGTTAATTGTGCCAAAGAGCTTTAATCCCTTTGCCCAAGTAAAGTCTGCTGAGCGAGAAGGAATATAGGGAGAAAATAAATCAACATCTCTAGGGTCATTTTAGGCTAAAAAGAACAATCAATTTAAATCTGTAAAACATTTTCAAAAAAACGTTCAACTTCAAATTAGATGAGCCTAATTTACCTAAACAATAATGGATGAGATTTAACAAAACTTCTACTTAATATGATTTCACTACAATACTGATTTAGCCACAGTGGCTAAAGGCAACTTTCTACACTTAGATATACCAAGCATTTTCAGAAGGGTGGCTAATTTTAGGTTTGAGTTTAACAAGCTGAGAACTCCCCTGGAGAAAAAAAAAAAGGAATGTCTCTGCTCACAGACCGGGTGCAAGAATGAGCACATGTGACAAACTCCAGATCGTTCAGCTGACTATAACACCCTGCTACACACTCACACACTCAGACTCCAGCACTGCTCATTGTGCCCGTTAGTCATTCAGATTGGACGCTAAACGGCACATCACCTTCCTTTGCAGGAGAGCAATCGGCTTGGGGCTGAAACTGCCCTGCCAAGGTCTACTTTCTGTGACAATGAACCAGTGTGCGTGTGTGAGAGACTGATGTCACACTGAAAGCATTTAGATTCACCCCTCATGAATTAAGAACAATATTTGTTCAGTTACAGCCAGTACTTTGGCCCTGCCATCTCCCGCTGAGAAGGGAATTCACAAGGATAGGAAAGTCCTAATCATTTGTTCCCTGGAGTAAGTGGGTTCCAGAGGGTTTGGAAGAATAAACCTGGTAAAGCGTGTGAAAACTGCATTTTTCCCCACTGTGAGATTGATGAAAAAATAAAATAGATATTTTTTTTTCCTTCTAAAAAGTTATTTAAGGGATAGTTCCACCCAAAAATTAAAATGCTGTTGTAATTTATACTCACCCTCATGTTGTTTCAAACCTTTATGATTTTCTTTATTGTTTAGAACATATTTTGAGGAACGTCTCACTGTTTTATGCCCAATAGAGGTCAATGGTCACCAAATTGATTACTAACATTTTTTAAAATATCTTCTTTTGTGTAACAAAGAAAGTTGCACAAGTTTGGAACGACAAGAGGGTAACATAACTTTACGACATAATTTACATTTTTGGGACAACTATACTGTTTAATTGAATCGTTTGTGGAATAAGATACAATAATGCATTGTCATGTACTCTTAATTACATTCCCAAAATGTGTTGTTGATGGACAAGAAGATAATAATTAATAAATATGATTTTTATAATGTTATGATTTTATAAATAATGAATACAAAAGTTACATTAATTTCATGAATAAATATAAGATAATTATTTTATTTATACATTTTTAGAATAATATAATAATAAAATCCAAAGAGCATCTGTTTTGACCATGATATGAAGTGGGACAGGATACTAGAAATGTTACTTGTGAGTGTGACCTTTAAAGGTTAATAAGAAAAGAAAATCTTCTAAATCTTTCTTTTCTTAAAATAAAATTTCAGATAAAAGTAAACGAGAAAAGACAATTATCTCAAACTTGCAGTAGGGGTTTAATCTTCAGCTGGCTGGCTGGAGTCACGTGACCTGCCAGTGCTGGCTGGTGGCTGGCAAGTCAGCCGTGGCAAATTTCAGCAACCTTTGATTTTTTTTGGCAGATTTTGTGTTTTGTATTCATCCCACACTAGCTGTGGTGAATTACATTAATTTATTATTGTGCATCTCTTGATATGATTATGTTCTGTTACATGATTGGTGTTTTAGAGAATTTTATGTTAATTAAAATTAGTCAGATAGCCTTGATCACGACTGACGCTTTCCTGGATGCTCAATCCAGCCAACGCATTCCTGATCACTCTCGCAGCAAGGAAATGTATTATTTTATAATTTATTTATATATTTTTATGAATACATTCATTTAAACAATCAAAATTTTAGAGAGGTGTATCACAAATAAAGCAGTCAAATGGTCGTGATCCCTACTGGTTGGTCTTATGTTCCTCCCACTCTCATTCAAAGGAATCATTTTTCGCCACTCGTGTTTTACGCCTGTAATAAAATAGGCCAAGATGCAAACTCCAACAAGCATGTGCTGAATTCCTTAAGCCTTATGATGAGTTCTGTGTTTGCCTTTCACTTTCATAGGCCTACTTTAATCTGATTCTCATGGAAAGTTTTTTCTTTTAAATGAATGAATATATGTTTTTATTTTTGTATATATATATATATATATATATAGGCCTATATTTGTCCGCTAATCCGCGGCTGGCTGGATTGAGCGGCCAGAGAAGCGTCAGTAAACCAACCAGGACTGTTTTAATTACAATAAAATTCTCTAACACACCAATCATGTTTAACATAATTATCAACAGATGCACACAAAAAATAATTAATGTAATTCGCAAGAGCTAGAGAGGAAGGAACACACAAATATATATATATATATATATATATATATATATATGCCAGCCAGGTGAAGATTGAACCCCCACTCCAAACTATCATAAACATGATTAAATCATTAATCATAATGATTTGGCTACCCATTCACCATCACGTTTTTGGATATACTTTGGTATACTTAGTTATTACATTGCCATACAAATGTTCTGTTTTTGTCAGATTTTTAATAAATTCTAATCATTGTTAACGACGAATTCAACAGGTGTGTCTGGGTATAATTCAACATGAGTAAATTAATATATTCAGTGCTTTGTCTTTTTAGTGTCAATTGTCATTTTCCCGAACTAAATTTATTTAAATGAGGGCACGGCGTGTAAAAGTGAGAACAGTTCTTACCTCAATCCATCTTTGTGTTTCTGAGTAAGCAGCCTCGTAACCTCCTGCAGACTGCGCTCGCCACTCCATCACCGTAGTAAAGCTGTAAAAAAAACGGGCGTCTACAATCAAAGAGCCAAGACGCGAGAGTTCTGTTCTTCGGTACAGCGTCGCGTGAATATGTTCAATACTACCTGCTTTCTTAAAAAAAAAAAAAAAAAAAAAAAAAAATGAAGTCAGCAGGTGAAACCCTTTTCTTATTTGACTACCAGTTTCAAAACTATCACTGAATTGAACGTCAACGACCGTATGCAGGACGCAGGACAAACTCTTAAATCTCACCTTGTTCTTTTACCTACTCGAGAGGAACTTTAGAGTTGCGTTGTTCACTTTATACGCCCCCTAGTGCGTCAGGATACACCATACACACCAGAAACTACAGTCAGGTTACGTTAGAGGTGCCAAATGTAGGATTAAGCGCCACCGGAGAAAAGCATATAAGCTAATGGCATGTTTACAATTAGGCTACAGAGTAAAAACAGAGTGAAAACAGTTAAAGATCAGAAGTGCATACATTATGGTAACCATTATATAATTTGAGGGTGGCGACTTTTAATCACTTAAATACAAGTTTTGATTTATTATTTCTCATCACAATAGACTAAAATTGAAATACTTTTAACTTATTCGTCATTTTGATTTTTAAAGTGCAAGTACATATTAGTTAATATACAAATAAGTGATGAATTTCAACATTTCAACAATGGTCAACATTTTAATTATTTTTTTAGATAACATCGCTGTTTTGAAAGGGAAAAGGTATGGATGTAAAATTCACAAATAAACTGTTGTCACTGATAATGCAGAAATGAGGCCACCATGAGATGAAAACATTGGGACATTTGTTCTTTATTCTCTTAGTCTTAACAGATTTTTTTTTTCTGCATTCTTCAGAAAACTGTGTTTAGAAGTAGGAAACCATTGGTGTTTTAGAGAAAGTCTAGCACTTCTGTGAGAACAGTACATTTATTTTTGTCAAAATATGATAACATAATATTCATCATGACAACTTTTATTTTAAATGGCTTCTTCTCTGGCAGAAAAACAACACCCTTAGGTCAATTTGTATCATTAACAGAATGATATCATTTCATATCATTTTGGAGAAATGAACACAAAAAAAGTATTTTAGTCAGTGTCAACAAGATACTAAAAAATTTGTGTGCATGTACATTTCTTGATATTGGCTGATTCTAATTTGCTTCTCGTTTGCCTTCTGGTCAAAACTTTTAACAAACTTTTATTTTAATCAGTCAAAATTTAACCTATACTGTAGAAATGCTAAAGTTTTAAAGTATTCAGCACTTTTGAATGATTGGCAGTTTTTTTTCAGGTGAAATAAGAACATTTATGCTTTGGAAAGAGCCACCACAGTGAAGCGGAGCTCCTGGGGATCACGTGCCATGAACTTCTTGCAGACCTCTGCAGAATCCTGTGGATCAAATGCAATTTAAACAATGCCTACGAACAAAAACAAGTTCCACATATACGACCTTGTCAAAGAGAGTATATATCTATAGAAAGTCAATGAGAAACATCACACCTCAAGAAATGTGTCGTCTGTGGTTTTCCCATGAACAATTGGAAAAGGTTTACGTCCATCTGAAACAAATGAACAAAACATTAACACATGTAATAATTATGTATAAAAATATGAAGTATATTCCTTTAAATAGGTGTTGATACTGTTAATCGTTGTCGTAGAAGTGACAAGCACCTAAAACAAAATGACAAAAATATATTTATTAAATTTTACCTACCCAGTTCATATAAATTTCCCTCAACGTTTACAAAGGCAATGAAATGCAAATCCACTTTTTCATCTAAACCTGGAGCCTATAAAGGTGAGCAGAACAAATAAGTTAGCAGGTTAGACTTTTTTTCTAGAACACTGGACAGGAGTAGTAACAAGGCATAAAAGCAGAACTGAGATCTAACAAAAAGAGAATGCTAAAGGACAATAAGGTCATTCAAAATTAGGAATGTCATCTCAGTCCTTTGAAAAGACGTGAAACCAGATTGGAAGGGGTCATGGACATCATATCTCAGCACTGAACTTATAGCTGATGAAAATATCGCAGATGTTGTCTTTATGTGGAGTGATGAGGAAGATAGAGATGTAAGAAAAATATCCGTATTTAAAACTTTACAAAGTAAAATAACTAGCTTCCGGCCAAACGGACATACGGATTTGACTTAAATATAAAGCGTAAACTTGAATATGAATATTTTTCATATTTTATATTATTTTTTTTATGGATAGATGCCCTTTTATGATGGATAGATCCACATACATATTTTTCAGAAACTTAAAACATAATTCAGGGTTATACTGTAGGTGACTGCAGCAAAGATTTGTGGGTGTGCAATTTCAGACACATTTAAGTAGGTCTCTTACATGTAAGACAGAAGGAATGTTCATGTTCAAAGGAACAAAGGCAGAAACAAGATTTAGTAAGTGGAAGATGAGAACAGTGATAAGCTGTTATATTTTATTAGTTTTTTTCCCCTTCTTTTTTTCCTAGCAATAGCATTTTGGCTTATATTTTGTGCTAATTGTGTAAAAAGTGTGATACTAACTTTCAGGTTAGCCTTCAAAAGTAGGTAATCATTGCAGCATTCTACTGTTCCACCCTCGAGCCAGTGGGGAAGTTAACGCAATTTTATTCACGCTGCTCGGCAGCCTGGACACCATGAACCAAATTTTCGCCTTAGGTAGGGAACCAATCACAGAACGGGGAGGGAGCAGCAAGACGATGACGACATACATGCGACACACCGAAGCAGTTACTTTGTTTATATCTATGGATCCATCTTGGCAGCGGATGCGAAGTTACCTTCACGTCATCTAGTATCATTGAACCGATTAGCTATGAGCTATGTACAGGCGCATTTGATTTAGACATTCGTAGCACCCAATAATACGGCTCTGGGCATTCTTAAACCACGCCATAAATAGAAAATTAACATGTGGTTTCCAGACCACGTCTCCTTCTCAATGATACATGGTCTGGCGATAGCCAGGCTACATAAACACTGCAATATTCCATAAAAAAGTAAGAATTGTCGATTTTGTTGAGCTATGTACAGGTGCAGTGGGGTGGTGATGGCGCAGTGGATAAGACACATGCCTTTGGTGTGAGAGACCCAGGTTTGAATCCACTGTGAGACACCACTGTGTCCCTGAGCAAGACACTTAACCTCTAGTTGCTCCAGAGGCGTGCGACCTCTGACACACATAGCAATTGTAAGTCAATTTGGATAAAAGCGTCAGCTAAATGAAATAGAGGCTTGGCCTCTTTGCCTCTGTTTCTTAAAAGAAACAAGGACTAATACTTCAATATTTCCAATATAGTCTACATTTCAAAATGTCTACTTCTACAACAAAACAAAAACATAACATGGAACATTCAGCAATGGGATAAAACTTCAAAATGTGAGTACTGTAGATACTTAATGTAGATACTGTTTTGAATGCTGTTTTAACAACTAATCAACTACAATATTTAGCAAATACAAACCTCTGTTTGTCCTTCCTGAGCGCTTGACTCATGTGTTACTCGGATACTCTGAAATCATAAAAATATCAGAGGTTTGCTGAAAACAGATGTTTTTTTTTTTACTTCCAAAAACAGTTCCAGTAGCAAGCTGATTCACTAAAATACACAATATTTTATCACCTCGTCTTTTTCAAGGAAAGCTGCCTTTTCTTCTGGGCTCATTTTTGCAGATTGCAGTAAAAATGCCTTAAGGGGTGAATTTGGCTCTGTAAAAGAAGAATTTCATGAACATACCATAAACAAATATATTAAACATACAAATAAACTGACAAATAATATACTTCTCAAAATATGGGAAATCATTCTGAAAATGAGCAACTGATATATTTACCAAACTCCAGATGCCTTTGATTATTTGCCACAGCATGAATCAGCCCTATTGTACCACAAGCATTGCCGATGGTTTGTTTCATGAAGTAAACATCCGAGGACACCTCTTGTCCTTGTGCCTTAATTTTTGCCTCCTCTTCCTGTCTAAAGGTTTCATACTATATAGAGGAAAAGAATTAGATTACTAAAAATAAATCTACAGTAAATATTATGTAGTAAAAAAAAAAAATGATGAAGATGCTTCATTCTACTGACTGATTAACAAGTAACATTGGTTTTGCTATGTTTCACAGAACTAAGATATGCTGTTGTTATAATGTGATCTACAGTAACAAGACAGTTTTGAGTGTCATTGGCAGCGTTTACACTTGGCATTAACATGCGACCTGTATCCGGATGTTGTCCACATACACATTGAAAAGAAGTGTAAACACGTTTCAGAGTGGAATGTCCGATCAGCCTGTCCTGGTCCAGAGGCTGAGGTCTTGATTGTGGCATTTCTTTGAGGTTTAAAATCCAGTATTCCTGTAATTCTATTTTATTTTATGAATTTACAAATGAACTCTGTCTCGTATTATGTCCAAATACATTGTGCCAAGTCTGGTGAGTGTTTCCATTGCAGTTTTGTGAAATATTCCTTTTCGGAATTGCCTGAAAAACCCCCTCATAAAAACTTTTTTTGTGATAAACGGGAGAGATTTTTTATCCATAAGAAAAAACAAACTCGTGTTGGCTGAGAAATGTCATATCAGTGCATCTCTACACACACACACACACACACACACACACACACACACACACACATATATATATATATATATATATATATATATATAAAGGGAAAGTGTTGATGCCAGAAACAACCATATCCAGTTTCATGTCCACCATGATTTACAAACAGACAACAAACTATAAATACAGAGCTTGTGTACAGACATGGAGTCTATATGAGTGTAAAGTACAGTCCTACCTTCTCTGTTATAGGGAAGAGCAAAAGTACAGCGCACACAGGCCTTGGCACCAAACTGAGAACTTCGGGCTCCAGACCGTACACATCCCCAAACTGCCAGGTGGGAACCAAGCCAAGCTGCCGTAAAAACTTAACAAAAGTAAAACACAACACGTAGATTAAATACAAAATCATATAATACTAGTAAAGGGATTTGAAGTGAATGAACATACACAGGCACCAAAGGGCCTACACAATCCAAAAGCATTTCGATTTAAACATATAAATAATAAACTAATGAGGAACATGAAATACATTTTACATCAGTACAAATGCAATAAAGTTACAAACAATATACCAAGCGCGGTATTATATTGATAAACATAATAACTCAAAGTTGATAATTAGCCTGATCACAAGCGTGCTTTAATAAACCTGATTCATTCATTTGGCACAAGTTTTGAATCCTAGACACACCCAGATAGTCGACATCTACTCACTTGGTTCATAACCTGTAAAGCAGACACAGAACACAAAACAGTATCATATAAAATATGATGTAAAAGACATGAATTGCAGCTTAATTACCGTTCCTGCTAAAATGAACCCACGAACGATATAAAATTAAATGACCAGCGAAGGACCGTCACCGTGAGATCGGGGAGAAATTCATACCTCAGGGTTTGCTTCCAGTGGTAACCAGCGTTGGCCCTCCATTAAGCCCGTTTGATATCCTAAATTAAAAAAAGATGATATTGCTTCCACGAGCAATGGTGTGAACGCTTTGACAGCTGAGGGGGAAGTTCAATGAAACATGTGCGTGTTTATGTGAATTCAGCGACTGACCATGCAAGCTTAAATTCCAAAATAAAAGTCACAGTCACCATGGGAACGATATTTTATATTAGGGACAACGTGCCTTTATTGTCAACGTGCATCATTCATGTTTTAGTATCACGAATATGTTTGATAGTCTCACCACGCTTACATGCACATCCGTTTTCTATTAAAGTAGATATTATGGTAAAACCTTTGTTCTGAAATCTTCTCTTTTTGTACTTTGTAATTATTTAATCATTTACTTCTTCTTATTATTTCATAAGGCTACTCTAGTTTTATGTTAGTGATATTATGACCTTTTTCAGGTCCGTCAGAAGTTTAGGTGGTTAATTCCTGTGATGTTGTATTTAGGCTGTCACGCAACAGATTTAGTCCAGTGGGTGGCGATATTTTCTCAACAGTTGAGTGTTTAAACCCTATTGACCGCGAGCGAAGAAGAATTTTAAGATTCCGCGGTAATGTTTGGTTTTAAATTTGTATAAACCGATTTGATTTGTGTGCGCAGCATTTATTATCCGAATAGAAATGCATTATAATAAGAATAAAGATAAACCACATCTAGCCTCGAGTTTGTCGTCTTCTTTTATTGCTGGTGAGTAAAGTTAACGTTAGTCAGAATATAGCTAGCGTCATATTCTTAACGGCTGTGTTTTATTATGACATTCATTGTATAATCAGTCATGTCTTTTCTACAGCCTCCAATGATAAAAAGGAAAACATACGACTGGGCAAACAGGCGCCGTCTGTATACGCAGCCAAGATAAAGACGAAAATACACAGTAAGAAATAACGTTACTCAGAAATGCCAAATAGGGTAATCTGTTCTGTTTGCAGTAGGAAGTTACTTGTGGTCTTTATAAGTTGACCGATGACCATAACTTGTATTATGACAATGAAGGTATTAATAATGTTTTCCAGATACCTCATCATTCTTCAAGTGCTCTTTGAAAAGCAACAACAAGGCTCTGGCCCTGGCTCTGGTTGCCCAGAAGAAGAAGAGCAGGGAGCTGGAGGAAGAGGTGGTGCGGCTGAGGAAAGATGCGCAGGCCACTAATTTCGATCTTGCTTATCAGCGTCATAAAAGCAAACAGTTGGTGAGACTTTTAGATTGATTCTGGTTATATAGAACATATACATATGATTCTGGTTTGTTTTGTAGGTTAGTTTACAAATTTAGGCACAAAGAACCATACTTAAAAACGCTTTAAAGAACATGCATAACTTATTGTTTTTATTTGTATTATGAATATTATTATTTTTACAATAGATGAAGTTAATGTAGTTTCTTTTCTTTTCCTAGTTTTCCATTATACGAGAGTTTTATGACTCTTCTCTTAACTGCATGACAAAGGCTGTTGACATTTTTAGTAATGATGAGGTAAGATATCATTTTCTAATAATTAAGTTATATGGCTATTTTTCTTGTTGTTGATAATAATAAGAAAGACATGAATCATGATAATAATTAATATTATTTGTAAAGGTTCCAGACAGTATAGACACTGAACACAACACCAGTAAAGGAGATACTGAACACAATACCAGTAATGGAAGGAGAACACAGTGTAAGTTGTTCACTATATACAAGTTTCCTTAATAATGTCAGTCAAGGTTAATTTTTAAAATATATTAAAGTTTGAATGATTGGCACTGTTAGAAAAGCAATGCATTTTCAATGTATCTTGATGCAATATATTGATGCTGCTGTTGTATACATTTTAATTAGCTATTTATTTATTTTTCAGTTCAAATGTTTGAAATGGAAAAAGAGGTTGAGAATTTGCCAGATAGACCGTTGTGTCCACAGCAGGGCAGTGTTGTGTCTGTACCAGTGGATACAGTTAAAGATCCTACAGCCTGTGAAGTTCTCAGCCAAGAGAGAAACAGTCCAGCACAGCAAAACACTCTATATGACTCTGAAATGGAGATGACTGTAACTGACACTGCTGCTGAAATTGTAACAGTTGACATAAATGCAAGAAGAACCTCTACAGAAGAACATCAGGAAAAGAAGGATTTGTGTCATCCAGGAGAAGATCGTGAGCATGTATCTGCAGAGGAAGACTTTCCAATTAAATCTAGTAGGTCAGATTATACATCAGCTGTGCCAAAAGAGTTGACGACTGTGACACAGCAGTGCTCTCCCACTGTTCAGAACGAGTTGGTGAATGAGCATGAAACGGAATCAATAACTGCACGCAGGAAGACTCACGTCACCTCTCGTTGCACTAAAAGTAGCAGGCGCGCATGTAAACGGAAAGAACCAAACCCTGATCCAAGGAAAATTGACCTTATCTCCCAAGATCCTTCTAATGAAATTTTTAATGATTGTTTCAGTGATCTTGATCTTCAGAATTCTGAAAAAAGAAATACAGTGTCTTTAGATGGAAATATTTCAAGTAAAGCTGCTCAAAACAAAGCAAAAGAGTCTCATGCTACCCAGGAACCTAGGAGAACATTTATAGTTCTAGATGAGCTAAGATCTCAGAAGAGCAGGAGGACCAAAGTCTCATCCCTGATGATGGATCACAGTACATTGAATGTGCATGAAACTGTTGAGTCTGCTGGGACTGTATGGCCAGAAACTGCTGGTACTGATGTGCATGCAAGTCAGAGTGCAGTTCAAGTTCAAAAACATAAAAACAAAACTCTGGCACAAAAAAACAGAGGAACATTTGTGATACAGCCAAGTAAATCATTCAACAGTCCAGAAGTATCACAGGAGGTTGTACCAGGAACCGAAATGACAGCTCAAGATATTAGTTTAGATAATATTGCACAACAGCACACGGAGCCTGAGAATATTTCTTATGAGAAATTGAAGGAAAACATCTATCATCCAGAATGTACACTAGATGTGCATATCAGCTCTATACAGGAAGCCTCTGAATTTCCATCATCAGTTCCCGGTAAAGCTAAGAAACACAGAAAAGAGGGGGCAAATAAAATAAAAAAATGGAATGCTACAGGAAAAGAAAAATCCAAAGCATTAACAAAGAAACAAAACAGTTGTGCTGTGAGTATGGATAAAAATGTGTCGACTGAAAAGCAAGATGTGATTGATCTTCAGAATGGAGCAGGATACAGGTCTTTATCTAATACTTTACAACTAACAAGGATATCTCATTGCTCAGAGGTGGACCTCAGGGATGAACATAATGCAGAAACTCCTGAAATACGCTGCCCTTCCTCTGTTGACAAGCTTGATCAGGCTGACCATATGAATATGGATGCTCTTAACATAGATCTGGACCAAACCAACAAAGCTCATGAGAGCAGGTGCAGAAAAACCTATGTAATTTCGTCTTCTCATGAATCTACAAATACAGAAATCACTGACCTTGGTGCTTCCAGCAGAACATCATCTTCTGAACATCATCATCTCACAAATGAAACGGATGATGTTTCACCTGTCATGAACTCAAGCATGTTAATCATAGAAACATGTAATGCAACTTCAGGCCGTTTCAGTGAACACACAAAAGACCTTCAGCTCACAGAGGAGAGGCCTCCATGGGAGACCATAGATGGTTACGCTGAAATGCTCTCAGTCGAAAGCTCTGCCCACAGCCCTCAACCAGAGGCCCGCTCTCAAACTATGAACATTTACCAGGACCAGGATTCGGAATTGAGGCACCAAACTCCAGGTAATCCTTATGTGTTGGTCTAAATGCTTAGTCAATTATTATATTTTGCAAGGAGAATCAAATAATTCCTTTTTTCATTTCACATATTTGTATTTTTTTATATACGTTTTTATTCTGTGAACAGAAGATAGCAGGGTTATGAAGAGTCTAACAAATACAGACGTTAACTCTATAGGCAGAACTCGAAGAAGAGCAGCACCAGTCTCCTACAGAGAGCCAACTCTCAATTGGTGAGTCACACTTAAATAATATAATGATATAACATAGTATATGATTTATTTCTGCTATGATACATAATCTGTTATAAGTTTGGATAACTTTTGTATTTTCTTTCATTGATTTATTTATATATTTGTTTGCAGCAAAATGAGGCGTGGGGACAAGTACTCTGATACAAAATTCTTAAACTCTCCGGTGTTCAAAGATAAGAAGCAGAAGAAGAAGAAACAAACCTAGGAGTGAATTTCCCATTGATTGATTTCAGTCTTTTATTTAATCTTCATTTTTGCTATTTTGTTTTATTGACTTTTTATGCAATTAAAATGTTTAATGGATTGATCATAAAGGAGTAGTTCACTTTAAAAAAAAAAACTTTTGCTGATAATTTACTCAACCCCTTGTCATCCAAGATGTCCATGTCTTTCTTTCTTCAGTCGAAAAGAAATTAAGGTTTTTGATGAAAACATTTCAGCATTTTTCTCCATATAATGCACTTCACTGCATGGGAACCAAACGGTTCAAGGTCCAAAAGACACTTTCAGTGCAAACTTCAAACTGTTCAAAGGGCTTTAAACGATTCCAGGCGATGAATAAGGGTCTTATCAAGCGAAACGATCGCTCATTTAATAAATAATTAAACAAAGTTTAACTTTTATAAGCTCAAATGCTCTCCTTGCTCTGTTCTGTGACACACGTTTGTGACTCTCCTGTTCGAACCTGTTCATCAAAATGAACGAAACCCTTTTCCGAGTCATTTGGTTAATTCAACGATCTAAACGAACGAATTGACTCGGAAAAAGATTTGTACGTTTTGATGAACGAGTTCAAACAGGAGAGTCACGAACGTGCATCGCAGAACAGAGCAAGGCGAGCATTTGTGCTTATAAAACGAAAACTTTGTTATTTATTTAATAAATGAGCGATCATTTCGCTTGATAAGACCCTTATTCGTCGTCTGGAATCATTTAAAGCCCTTTGAACTGTTTGAAGTTTGCACTGAAAGTGTCTTTTGGACCTTGAACCGTTTGGTTCCCAGTAAAGTGCATTACATGGAGAAAAATGCTGGACTGTTTTCATCAAAAACCTTAATTTCTTTTTGACTGAAGAAAGAAAGACACAGACATCTTGGATGAAATGGGGGTGAGTAAATTATCAGTAAAAGTTTTGTTTTTTTTTTTTTTTTTTTTTTTTGAAAAAAACTAGTGAACTACTCCTTTAAACTAAGCCTTCAGATCTCAGCATAGTTTTATTCTTGTGCATTTAGGCAATTTCGTTTGAATTTTAAATTTGATTTATTTATGTGGTTAATAAAGAGAGCCTGCTCTATTCGCTGTTTATTATTAATTTGATTCTGCTTTCCAACCCTAAGTTGTGTTCCTACTGATCATATGGAAGTAATCTCCAATCTCTTTCCCAACTCATTTTATATATAAATGAACGTTGTATCTGTGTTATGTAACCGAGCACTGGCCGACAGTGTTAAAGTGATTAAAGGACTCAATGAATTATTTAGAGGACTGTTCACATGAGAGGACTACGATTCCGAGTTTGAGTAGGGGTTTATGCTGTCTGAAAGCAGATGGAAGCTTCTGATATACTGTAGGCATCTTATTATGCTATCGGGAAGTGTTAGTTTGAGGTAAGTTTAGATGTTTTCTTAGTTTACAACAATTTGTATGTGTTTTGTATATCAGTATTTTTGTGTCAAGGCATAAGTAGATGCATTACATTAAAATGTAATTGGTTTATATTTATGAACTTCTTTTTTTTTTTTTTTTATTAGGCATTTGTAACTTGTTGGATCAACCCAATGTTTTTGTACATTGTAGTCTAATTAGATGCCTCAGGTAACCTAACACAAGTCTGTTAAATACTCTGTCAAATTTTCGTCTCAGTTTTCCTGTTCATTGGAAGCCAAAGTTTGCAGTTTGCTTCCTGTGTTTAGTGTTGCCCCTGGAGAGGATTAAAGCATTTTGTACTGTTGATTTTATAAGTGCTTTGTAAATAAAGATTATTATTAATATTATAGGTAAAGGATCGTTTTTTTTTTTAAACCTTATAATGCTTATTTTTGAATTTATCACATTACTGTTATAATAGAATTTCAACGATTTTTCCAGACTGAATTTTGGCATAAAGAATTAAGTGTCTCAACTGAGGGTATACATTATGGAGGCCAAGCGATTGAAGAGGGATGTTAAAACATTGCTGTAAGTGTGAAATAAATTCACTAAAATGTATCCGGAATTTTTTTTTTACGAAATGTATCTGAAAAAAATATAAGTTTACTTTATTTAAAGGAAGAACAAAAAAATCGTAAACCTTTTAACTGTTGCTGAAAATGTCTGTATATGTTTTAATATCTTTTAGTGGTGAATATATTGGACAGCGACTCAGAGAAAATGGTTTTGATCCAAAAGGGAAAAGCACTTTTACAATGTTAGATGATTTGGTAAGTCAATTTTAAAACATCCGTTTAATTTCAAAGGTTATATTGTCCTATTGAGATGAAAATTTAGTTGTGAGTTGATGTTTTTTTATGTTATAATCATAAATGTTCTGGGGGAAAAAAATTTTGTGTATTGCTAAATATATATATTTTTACACATACTGTAGGCCCATTATGATTTGGCTATAAGTGTGGCTTTGTGGAGGCTCAATAATGATGATGAGAAGAATTTAGTTGAGAACAACTACATGTGAGTAATTTATATAACTGAAATGTGTGTATGTTTAATGCTATTTTGCAGTGTTTGCATACAATCACATTTGATCATACTATCTTTGTAGAGGAATTGGAAGTTTACAACATATTAGCCAGTACCCTAATCGCCTGGAAAGAGAAGCAATGATCCTTTCTTCCTTTGCTGGAATGCTTCTGGTAAGGTTCAGAGGAGAGTATAATTTGCCAGTTTCTATGTGATTCCAAAGCTGACAAAATAATAAATGAATATACAAATAAACAAAAATAATTAAAATTGCTTGACAAATATTTTCAAGTGGTTTCCCAAAATTCAACTGAAAATGCTTGGTTTGGTTTGGAGGTTTAATTCTTTCAATTGCAACTATGATTGTGTTTTTTCTTTCATTTATTTATTTATTTATACTTTAATTTATTTTCACATTTATTTCTACATTTTTTGGAGGTAAAACGCCCCCCTCATTAGCATACAGACAGACCAGAGCTCAAACTGGCAGTGAGATGGTCCTCACTGCACAACACGAAATCCAGGGTAAGGAAATCCACCTTATGAACGTAAACCTACCCATCTCCACCCCCTGATCCTAATCCTACCCATCTCTGCCCCCTGATCCATAACCACACCCCTAATCCTACCCATCTCCACCCCTTGATCCTAACCCCACCTCTAATCCTACCCATCTCCATCCCTTAGATCTGGATCCAACTCCGCCCCCTGGATCTCGTGTTCTGCAATGAGGTGCTGGTGGCAATGCTGAAGTTTTGAGGCCACAGTGACACCTTATGGTGTGACCAAATGAACCACAAATAAATTAATCATACATGAATAAATAAATAAATTGGGGAAAAAATACAATTATAATTAAATAAGGAAATAAAAGCAGACAATATATATATATTAATTTGTCAGCTTTGGAATTCCATTTTCAACAGAAATTCTGTTTTTGACAAGTTTATGTCCTCTCATTTTCAGAACAGCTTACCTATAGAAGACATTCTGTCTCTGTACAGTTGCAAACCATCTGCATCTTATAAGGTATTAGAGATTATTTATTATTTGAGAGTGTGTTTGTCACACAAGTGAGCAGATGTCACGCAGGATAAAAGTGGGAGGGATATACGGGAGTGTATACCATGAAGCCAGTTTAGGTGGCTAGCCAGGTATGTTTCAGTTTAGCTTGTGCCAACACTGCCAGGCACAATGAAAGTGGTTTGGCTTTTAGCTGTGCTCATCGCCATAGTGACTTATGCTTCACGGCTAACCTGCTCTGGGGCAACTTATGCTCCAGGTAAGATATTTTAAACAAAATTGGAACAAAATCAGCTGTGAGCAAAATAAGTCCCCCGTTTCTACTCCAAATTAAAGGTCAATAGATATAAATTATTTTTAAAGAAAAAATCATCTGGCTTTTAGCAATGCTTATTTATGGTAATAATATTGTATGATTTAGATATTATAAAGAGATACTGGTATTGGAGATACTGGAATTATACCCATCCATTACACATGTACAAATTTAGTTGAACAACTATTATTATGCTCTTATTTTAAATGATTAACTTATAAACATATAAAGGTAAAATAAATAAGCTTTAGGATCAACAGATAAAGTTAACAACTTTTGCATTGATATAGCACGATTTTTTTTTCCTTTAGTCGTCCTTTAATATACAGCTCTTTTCTTCTTGCTGTGCAAATTTGTTTAAATGCATTTTTTTTTTCAATCTCGTAATTTGCAGTGAAGTGAGAAAAGTGAATCGCAGTTTCACTATTCCACAGCATGTGATTGGCTGTTCTCTAGCGATGTCACATCTAAACCCCCAAACTCAGGATCAAAGCCTGAGTTGACAGAGAAAGTTGATTTTCAACATAATGGTACCAGCAAAGCCTGACTGGATTGGTTTGGTTTTGTCAACTCAAAACTAATCATGTAACCTGTAACCCTGTTTGTTTAACTTCCATCATGGTACTGGCCCATGATCTGTAAATAGAAAGCCTTTAATTGTTGTTTAGTCTGTCATTTAGTCTGTCATTTCACATTATACTTCTCAACCAGGAGGTCAGGAGCCACTAGAGGACCTCAACAAACCTAAGAGTTTTTTTTTTATTAATATATATATATATATATATATATATATATATATATATATATATATATATATATGAAGAGTTCAGATGCAAAAGCCTCTAAATGCCATTTGAAATTTTCTTCTTTAATGATGATTTTTATCAAACTTGTATATTTAAGTTCAGTAATTTCACTTAAATAACAATTAATAGGTAATCTGCATTGCCATTTAAGTGAAATCACTGAACTTAAATATACAAGCTTAATAAAAATGATCATTCTAGAAGAAAATTTCAATTGGCATTTAGAGGCTTTTGTATCTGAACTCTTCATATATATATAAAGGTAACTATTTTTTATTTATTTATAGTTGTATGTATGTATTAATCTAACTGCATTATTAAAAATGTAATACAAATAGTAAATAAAAAAATAATAGTAATGATATATTTTTTTCCTCAATTTCTTTTCTTGATAAATATAGGCCAATAGTTCTTGACACTTCTGAAATTACCAACTGAAACATTATTAAAAATGACATATCAGTTTAGGTTAATAAAAACAAGCTTGAAAAAGAGCAGTCATAATGACCACAGAAATACCAAAATCAATATTTTATCATGCAGTAAATAGAGGGCCTTCAAATTGAGACAGGTTGAGAGCCGCTATACTTTATACCTTATACAGACATATGAACAAACATGAAGTCATGAAAAGAATCCCTCTTTAATTGCTTTAACTGAAGAGTTTCATGTCATCAAATTTCACTTTAGAAAATGAGAAAAGGCTTAGTTTTAAAATTATTTCAATGTCTTTTGCTCAACAGGGCAACATTGTTCACCCATTCTCCCTCTCTTATCATCCATTTGCTATGCTTAGTTCATTCAAAGCAGTAGAGCGCTCAAGAAAACACAGTATGTGACCTTTTACTTATTTTAATAATAACATTGTTATTGCATAAATTGAAAGTGATCACAAAAAAAAATAGAACAAAAGGTTATGTTGATTGTTTATCATTGCCTTTTGTCTCTTTACCAGCCCAGGCGCTGAAACGCGGGATCAAAGAACACAGTAAACAGAAAGTCTCTGGAGTAACAGAGACACTGGAGTCCTCCTCTTCCAGCTCCTCATTTAGTGTGAGTGTAAGTCTTCTTTTCCTCGGATACATTCTACCACAATCTGTTATAACACTCAGTAAAAAAAAAAAAAAAAAACAATGCACTCATAAAGTTGAAAATTACTGCCACCATGTGCTCAGATTATGTAATTGTTGTACATGTCTTTTGACATAAACAGGACAGTGAGGACTCTTTAAAAGATGAAACCGCTCACTATGAGGGCTCACAAGAATCTCTGCAGGACTGAAAACAGCAGCTGTCCAACAAGCAAATATTAATTTGCATGTGGTTTATTAAACACTGATTACACATGTACCATCCTTGCAGGTGGTTTGTCTTTATGGTTAAAATTTTGGTTATTTCCCAAGACTTTGTACACAGCCAGGGAATAATAAAGAGAGAAGATTAATTTAGAGTAATCCATTTTATAAATATCAACTATCAAGATTACTTATTTACTGACTTTATCCAACATGTTCACACAGTCTCTTTTAGAAATGGAAAGTGTGTATAATTATTTTGCCCATGCATTCTCATTTTTTAGTACGTGTGAATGAAGATACAATGTTAAATATGCAGTAATCAATAAAGTTCCATTGCAGATCTATTTCATTCTGTTGGTGCATTCCATTTCTAAGCAATAATTCCATCACATAAAGAATCTTATTAGTGCCTGGATCAAAACAGAGGAGGGCAGCTAAGGTCAGTAATTTGCCATGTAGGAATTTTGATTTGATGAATCATGGCTTTTACATCTATGGATAGGATTAAGAGGTAAGCACTAGCATCAGAATGTCAAATTCCAGTCATTGAGAGGACAAATAAAGTTTGATCCATGTTGATGGAGGTTTAAAAAGCAGACATCATGCCCTAGTTTGTTTCTCTTGTTTGGGATTGTTTCCTGAGGTTCACATCATAACGAGTAAGGTGAATGGGACAGTCAAAGACTTACATTTTTGAGGAAACTTTAGGTTTGCATTTGACTATGAACAATTGTTAGCCAAATCCTTGTTATACTTAACTGTAAGAAACTTCCCGGGTCGCTCCTATGACTGTGGAACAGACTGCCCAGACATGCATCCTCATTTCAGTCGATGCAACTATATCAGAGTGGAGAGTGGCTGCTGGGTCCTGTATGAAAGACCCAACTACTCTGGTTTCCAGTATGTGCTAACCAGGGGAGAGTATCCTGAATATCAGCGCTGGATGGGCTACAATGACACTATTCGCTCATACCGTACATTTTCCAATGTGAGTAATGCGTGTGAACGATGATTATTCCATCTTTAGTTTCCTGTTCTGACTCACAAAAACGTTCTCAGTGCCCACAGTGTGTAAGCCTCTTGTTGTATTTTGTTGTTGTACACATTAACATGGCACTCTTGACTGTAACTATTGGAAACTTGCAGAAAAGTGGCGGATCCATTCTGCACAAGAATCTACAATCAGCCAGATTTGTAGAAGGCCAGATGATGGAATTCAGTGATGACTGCAGGTCCATCTATGAAAGCTTCCTGTGCTGCAGCATTCACTCTTGGAATATCATGGAGGGATACTGGACCCTCTGAGCACTCCAGTTTTCGAGGCCGCCAGTATTTCATGCCAACCAGCGAGTATCGCAAGTCCAGCAACTTGGATGCCATGTGTGCCACCATTGGCTCCTTCTGCAAAATCACTGATTTTTAAATTCCACATTATTAAAATAATTGTGCCTTTACAATAAAATGTCACAAAACCATATTGTTTTCATTGTATTCATGCTGCAGATCTGTCATTCACACACTTAAGTTTATTAATACAGCTGTACATGATCAAGATTTCAGACTTATGGCATCTGTGGGGGATGCTTTAATTTTTAAAAGAGAAGAGGGCTACACTTTATTTTGATTGTCCACTTTAGACATTCTAAATGAAAGCGTCAGGTAATTCATTTATTATTACCGGGATAGTCCCTTCCTATACCTCCCAGGGAGTCGGCTGCGCCCCTATTTCGTCTTCAGGGAGGAAAAGCAGATTCTGTACCCTCGGAATTGCAAGCTATTGGGGCCTATATGCCAAAGAACATTATTATCACAATACTTGCTTGCTGTGCTGTTAATAAATGCATGCTTGTTATGTTATTTTGCCTCCCGAATGGTACAACTACAAATAACTTGTCAACTAACTCTCATCAGAGTATTAGTAGACTGGGTTAAGTGTTAGGGTGTGGTAACTACAATAATTTGATATGTAGTTACAAAAGTACTTATTACATCATAATAATTTGTTAGCAAATATTAAGCAGACAGTCTTCTAATACTCTAATAAGAGTTAGTTGACATATAGTTGCAAAGTTACTTCTAGTTAGTAGATTGTCAAAAGTAGACCATCGGGAGAAAAAGTGTTCCCAAGTTTAGTATTTCTTTATGTTTACCTATGTGAATTATTTAGAAATAATAAGGCATTATAATCAATGTAAATTGCACTTTTGCTTTTGGAATCAAGCAAGTTATACGTTATATATTTTAACGATTGTATTGTAATGATAAACTAAATGTCACTACAGGCTACCATGTAGATCATACCATGCTGGTAACATAATTAGTCATTGACAATTATTTGAATGAAGTAGCCATCCTACACTGGCACGGTACTGCAAAACATTAATTGGTCCAATACGTGAGATGATTAATGGCAATGGGATTGCCATTGACATCAAACTGTACATATATGGATTTTTTTTCTTTTAAACAGATATCCTCATGAAACCTATATAATCATTCACTATCAGCTATCCTTAAGGCATTTCACAATATTAGAAGCAAAACTATCAGTTTAAATTCAATTATTTTATTTAAAATGTCTAATTCTAAAACTAACACCATTGTTGTGTTGTTTTCCTAGACCTTTCCAGCAGCTTTCAACAGAGCAGCTTTTGCTGGAAAAACTAATGTTATGGAGGCAATCAAAGTGATTGTTTAAGCTAAAACAGACAGTCATGTTTGCAGATTTCCTGTACAGTTTCTGCTGACATGAGTACACTGTGATTTAAATGACAACGCAAACAGTAGTACCATTATATTCTTGGATATATATTAGTATAGTTCCAGCTTGGCACCTGCACAGGAAGGATCTCAAAGCCCTTGTAAACATGGGAAAGGTCTGAATGAATTACAATAACATATGAGTCATAAATTAATTATTATTTTGCTTCTCTCCTTATCTACATATTGTTTTCTCTAGATTATCTTTTACGAGGACAGGAACTTCGGTGGCCGTCACCATGAGTGCGTGAGTGACTGCGCTGACCTGCATTCCTACTTCAATCGCTGTCACTCCATTAGAGTGGAAAGTGGTTGCTTCATGGTCTATGACCGAAGCAACTTCATGGGACACCAGTACTTTCTGAGAAGGGGCGAGTATCCCGATTACATGCGTATGATGGGAATGAATAATTGCATCAGATCCTGTCGTATGATCCCAATGGTAAAGACTGAAGCAAATCATTATCTAAAGTTCTCAATGGTCTTGTTTTGCAACGCATTCTCACCCCAAGGCGTCACCTTTGACCATGCTTCAATATTTGACGTTTTAGGCGCCCTTTAGCGTCACTTACATGACGCGATCCTACGGCGTCATCTAACTGACGCTAAAGGAAAGCGTCAGTTAGAGGACGCGGTTAGGTTTAGGTATGGGGTGGGGGTAGGGTACACGCGATCCTAGGGCGTCATCTAACTGACGCTAAAGGGCGCCTAAAGCGTCAGATATTGAAGCATGGTCAAATGAAGAGATCAATCAAATGTGAGAAATCAAATGTGAGAATGGGCTGTGTTTTAATACATTGAAGTTAAGTAACCAGCCTTAACTCCTGTTTTGTTACCCATTTAGCATCATGGGTCCTTCAGAATGAGGCTCTATGAACGCTCTGACATGGGCGGCAAGATGATGGAGCTCATGGATGATTGCCCTAATCTTATGGAACGCTTTAATGTGTCCGACTTCCATTCCTGCCATGTGATGGATGGTCACTGGCTTGGGTATGAGCAGCCCAACTATATGGGCAGGCACTTCTACATGAGGCCTGGGGAGTACAAGAAGTACAGTGACTGGGGTGGCATGAGTTCAAAGATAGGCTCCATCAGACGAATCATGGATCTCTAATGAAAGGAGTCCTTTTGAAATGTCTGCTGTATGCCCTTTTTCACACACTAAATAAAATGGTGTCTGTGCTCAAGTGTATTCAGTTTTGTTCTTGCACCCTCTACCTGAGGGGGTCACTGCCTGAAGATGAGACTTGCTACAGGTTTCCAGACTACTTTACACTGTTCAGTAACCTGAATAAAATTATAAAGACAATTTTCTCCATGAGACAGGTGTTGAGTGTTCTTTTTGCTTGTAATGCACATTAAACTCACTCATGGTGAATAACTTATGATAAACAGATGAATAGGAAAAAAATGAAAGCTTTAGTGTGAGTTCTACCGTAAGTTCTCCTTCATCCTCCCCACCACCACCTTCAGGCAGAACATGCAGACACCGCTACCGTCGCATTGCTTGCTAAGGACCTGGTCTACGCCAAAGGAAAGAAGCGTAAATGGATGGAGAAGCAAAGGTTACTGTAAAGCTACATCTTAGTTTGTGCTTATCTTGGCGAAAGCCAACTACAAATCAGCATGAAGTTTTAACATCTACTCTCATGTAATGGAAATCATGAAGATCTGGATACGTCCAGTGACTACAGTGAATAGTGCTGCTGGTAACAAGGGAAATACCTTGTGACAGCCTGGAGAGACAGCTGACAGGAGGAAAGATACCCCATTGAGGCCGGTAAGGGTTAGCTACCCTTGTCGGCAGTATCCAGCTCCGTGTTTACAGGATGCTGGAGACACCCACCCAAAGCTTCTGAGAAATTAAAGAGAAAAATACCCCTAGAGTCTGCGGGGGCGCAAGATGACTCAATGCTGGGCAACATGGTTAATGACTTGGAAACAGATGGAAAAAGATACGAGTATGGAGAGTAAGACTAGTAAGATCTAAGATCTGCAGTTAGTAAAGTCATTGAATTCCAAGTTTGTGTCTGTGGCTGATGCAAGGTGATAAGGATCAGGGGTCATGACCAAGTACTGTGATGTTTAGCTTTAGCATTGGAAGGCAATAAGTTGCCACCTGTTCTAGCAAAACATTACACACAGAAGACAATATTCCCCCGCTCAGGCGAGCAAGGTGGTAAAACCAATTCTCACCCAGGACTACCAAGCTGCTAGGGACTGTAAAATGCTGGCTGATCTTGATCAACGGCTTTATTTTTCCACCTGAGATTGCCACCACTAACCTCCGACCAGATATTAATTTGTGGTCTGGATCAGCAGTCCAACTGATAGAGTTAACAGTGCCATGGGAGGATGCGGTAGATATGGCATATGAGAGGAAGAAACTGCGGTATGCTCATCTGGCCACTGAAGCAGAACAGCGAGGATGGAGAGTGCAGGTTTATCTAGTTGAAGTGGGTTGTCGGATTCTCAGAGACATCGGATTCAGTGGCCAAGAGTTGTGTCGCAAAGTAAAACACTTTTCCGAAGCAGTAGAGAGGAGCAGCAACTGGCTGTGGTTGAGACGGAAATATTCTGGCTGGC